TTATGAAAATGACGTTTTCCACAATCTAACGTTGAAATAAGGGTAAAAATGCAAAAATATGAAACGTGAGGACGTTTTACACACTAAGAGTGAAACGTAAGGACGTTTTGTGCTAATAAGCCAAACTTGAAAATGGTAACCTAAATTGCAATTGTCATCCTCTATCTTTATCATCTTTTGCATTATTATCCTCATTTTTTGTTTTTCCAAGGTAATAGTCAATATCTCTCGTATGCGTATTTTTAAGTGGCATTACTTTCCGAATCATGCTACATGAACATAATAGTTGACATAATCATTGACATAATATCACGTGGCAACATATTATTGGACTGTTTAAAACTTAGTCAACTTTTTCAACCAACCACATCTTGCCAACACTTATTTTGTCAACCGTTATGTCACATTTTTGGGGCAAAGTAGCATTAGGTAAGCTGGTGGGACAAATCGGACCAGAGTTCATAAAAACTAGCCAACTAGTCATCCCATTTGAGAGTGAACTGGCTTGCCAAATAGACCGAATCGAGCCTCACAGCGGATGAACCGAGTTGCTTAGTCCGACCCACTTAATACCCCTAAACTCATTCAACAAGTTTCTCTTCAAATCTTAATTGAAGTTGCCTGTTGAATATGTTGAAATTCTTTAAAGCTTTTAGGTAAAATGAGTAATGCTTGAATTTATCCTTAAAGAAAGGTTTAAAGGAAATAATGGAAGCCAGTCTAAAGGAAATACTTTTGAAGGGAAAATTTCGTACTTAAGAGATTAAGTGTGGCCCATTTCAAAACTAAGAAATAATGTTTATTATTTCAAAAAATTAGATATTAATTGAATTTTATTTATGAAATAATTAATTAAATATATTATGGTCACAATTACGTATTTATAAATCACAACTTATTTTTTGGTTACAGATAAAAAAAATTATAGGTCATAATTTATTTATCGATCACAAATCACAAATTTTATAAGTCATAACTTGTTTCACAATCACAAATTATCAAATTAATTAATTATAATTTACCAAATTCTGAGTCACAATTACAAATTTAGTCACAATCACACATTCACATAAGTCACATTTTTTTATTGGTCACAAATTAATGATGTATTGGTCACACCCACTCTTCCCACCTCCCTCCCACCAACTCCAACAACACAACACCCCCACCACCATGAGCACCATCAAAAATTCAAATTTAAAATTATCAGTCACCATCACCGCCCACAACCATCGCGTACCCCCTCCGCCACCGCCATCGCCAACTTCTCTATCTCCATCTATACCACACCACAACCACCATCCCAACCAAAAAAAAATCCACAAAACCCATTGCCGACACCACCGCACACTAACACCGTTGTACCATAACCTCAAAAACTACCAAAAACATGCCGGAAAATCACTATAAAAACCACCAATCTATGTGTATAGGCAAAAACCACAATCTGTGACTAGGCAAAATCATCGATATGTGTACCAGCTATATCCTCTATCTCCATCTATACCACAACACCACCACCACCCCCACCAAAAATTTCACAAACTCGCCGCCGTCGTCGCCACTGCACACTAACACAGCTGCACCACCACCTCGAAAATCACCACAAAACATGCAACAAAATCACTACAAAAACCACATATATGTGTGTACAAGCAAAAAACCACAATCTGTGACCGTAAATCAGCAAAAAGATCACTGGAGAAACAACTGAATTGAACGTTGCGATCTGTGAACCAGAGAAACCACTGGATTGAACGCCCGCAGAGGCGCGACGCCGCCCTAATCTATGACCCAGAGAAACCACTGGATTGAACGCCAGCAGAGGCGCAACACCGTGCAAAGAGACGCAGCGCGGCACAGCGCCTCATTGCCGGAGGTGCCATGTCCCCGATGCCGCCCCTCAACTCCTCTGGTGCCAGCCACGCCTGGAGAGACAAAGGTTGTTGAAAAGGAATTAGGGTTTGGGGTAAATGAAGTGGGATTCAGGGTAGGATGGGATGTGTAGATTAATTTAAATTGCACGGGGGTTGGGTTTGTAGATTATTTAATTTTATAATGTTATTATTAATATTTAAAAATTATATTATCGTCTGATTTTTGTATAAAAAAACTTTAAATCTGAATTTTGAAATTGAAATATAAAAAATCTAGTTTGATGTAATTTTCACTATTTTTAACTCCCCTTATATATATATAACTGTTCAAATATCATGATCGTTCACAATCCAATTTCAATTGCCTAAAGATATAAAGCCCGATTTTTAGGGAACAGCTTAAATTGCCAACCATAACAAGCTTGATTCTGGCAATTTATCAAAAACAAAAGACAGGTACCTTTTAATGAAAGGACACACAATTTTAGACTTCCAAACCAACACAAAATAACATAATTGAAATGAAACATTATTCTCACTGAGGTCTGAATAACACTGTTCTCAGTTACATAACTATGTTTGATCTCATAATCTAAAGCTACATTTTTCCTTCACCAACATAGAACTGAAGCTAAAACGACGATTTTTTTAGGTTGAAACTGGCATTTTCACCAAAAAGAAAAAACACATAAAGCTGGCTGATTTAACAAGCCAACCCAAATAGCAGATAATAAAGGAGGGAAATGGTTCCACAAGTTGACGGCAATAGCGAAAACAGCATTTTATCCCCATCACATGTACTTCCCAGATTCTTGATATAGTTGAAGGACATCATGCAATGCCCAAAATGTAAGAAATCATGGCATTGTCTGCCTCCAAGGCTGGATATAATTCTTTCAAGACCAATTTCATATAACCCCCAGACGTTTTATCATTGTACAAACAGGGGGCCAGTTGTTCCTGTCCATAAACAAGATGATGCAGGCCAATAAGATATATTGGAGGCAAATTTAGCTCAAGTTTCCCTAGAACTTGGTAGAATAGTTATATGAAGGTTAATAGTTGGTAAATGATAGAAATTAAAGTTAAAAAGTTGTTTTGAACAGAACTTTTTACTTGGACAGTACAAGGAAGCATTTGTAAGTTTGTAATGACTGCTAGACCGGCAATACGTGCATTAGAGAGAAGTTGAAAGCTTTTTCAATTATGTACATGCAAAAATATTCACACGTGCCATGTGACTCACCAGTAGTGCCACTTTGCAACAAAATAGCCACTTTCAAATTACTGGCAGTAGATAGCCTGATCTATCTGTGGAGGGATCTGCTTGATCTCTGTCCCAAGCTCTTGTTCAATCCTATACCTGCAATAATACAGATACAAGAAAAACATTAAAAAAAAGGAAAGAAAGCTGCAACATGCACAACCTAGTAGAAGTATTGTCTAATTGTCGTAAACCAAAGATATGGCATGGCATACAAATTGAAGCGGTCTTCGTAAGTAATCAGGTTCACGGCTAACCCAAGGTGTCCAAACCTTCCAGATCGACCAACCTACACATTAAATAAAATCCATAAAGAAATCACACGATGAGCGTATACAGTGAAGTGGCTAAACATCCAGGCTAGCATACCCTGTGAAGATAAGTTTCTGAGTTCTTGGGAAAATCAAAATTGATAACGACGTTGACAGCTTGAATATCAATCCCTCTTGTAAATAGATCTGCAATTTGACCACAGTAGGAGAGGGAAAAGAACAATCATATGAAAAGGAAAGAATTGGAATCAGAAATGAATGCAATGGCAAAGGTCAAGTCCACTTTTTCTCCATTTTATCTATGATAAATACAAAGTAATATGAACCAAATTGAAATTCCAACAAGGAAAAAAATAGGCCAGCGATCTCAAAAGAATGTTTCACTAGATCCTTAGCACGTCAATAGAGACCCAGATTGGCGGTGCTAGTCATTACTAGGATAAACCACCAATGCAATATTAAATATATAGCAGTGTTAACAATCATACACGTATTACTGATGATGAAAAAGTGACAAAATCAATGACCAATAATTCAGAGAAATTTCTGGTTAGTATCCTCGTTATTCTACACATTTACTAACCTTATCATTAAGGATCAACCAGTGTTTTAAAATATCCAATCGAGTACCGAGGCATTTACCTCTTAGCTAGGAATAAGCCTTCAACACAAACAAGTAAAGTAATTCAAAAGAATATAAAACCACAAAAATATGCCAGTAATAAATCTATAAACCATTTTGAAAATTCAAAACAAAAAACGAATTCAACAAAATTAAAAGTCTAACTCGCAAAAAATAAATAAAAAATCAAATAGATCAATAAGCAGCAAAAATATATTGTCAAATGTAATTAAGCAACATATTTGCCTATGCTTTCTACTTGAACTAAAAAACCAAAATGTCTTCTATAACTAGGGAGAGGGATATATCACACTTCAGGTACAGGAGGATGGACATGCTTGCTTCAATTGCTCTCCTCCCTCTTCTCCGGTTCATTTTTTCCCTACTGGGGTTGGTTGTGTTTGAAATAGCACAAAAAACCAAAATGTTCTCAGCTATAAAACACCTACCCCAAAACTGAGGCCAGTAATACAGTAATAGAAGGCCCAGAAAGAGCAAGACAAGGAGAGCACACCCCGGTCACCGTGAGGCTTATGCCATAAGGCGTGCACCACAATAAGTATGAGGCATAAGCATTGCAAATGATACTAACGTGAAGACTTCAAGGGGTTTATTGAATGCATCATATTAGGCGTGCCTCAAGGCAAAGTAAAGACAATGTAACCAACACCATTAATCAAGTTACCAAGATCATTTGCAGACAATCCACATAAGTTAACTGAAAACAATTGCAAGATGGCAAGCATGGTTATCACAAGACAAAAATGTAGGAGTTAATACCAGTGCAAACGAGATTCCTGCAGGCACCATTGCGGAAGTCATGAAATACTCTGTTCCGATGATTTTGAAGCATCTTAGCATGAATATAGAAGCAAGAATAGCCAAGCTCTGTGATTTTCTTAGCAAGAAGTTCTACTCGATTCACGGAATTGCAAAAAATAATAGATTGGTTTATTTGGAGCTGCAGGAAGAAATATTAATGAACATATAACTTTCATTGCAAAATTACCTGAAAATGGCAGATGTGTGTGCTGTGTAATAAATATAGAAACAGCAGCTTCAACCTTTGAGAATAGTGTGTTGAGGCAGTGAACTTTCTGTCTTTCTTCCACAAAAGCATAATACTGTGTTATGCCCTTTAAGGTAAGCTCATCCATAAGGTTGATGATATAGGGCTTCTGCAGGTACCTATCTTTGAAATCTTTCACCGTAACAGGAAATGTAGCAGAGAACATCAAGATCTGACGTTTTGAAGACATAAAATGAATTAACTGCTCAACAGAAGGTTGGAACTCTGGTGACAAAAGCTTATCAGCCTGAAAAACATTAGCACAGACAAGATTAGAACATGGATTGCCTATGATAATTACATTCTTTCAAAGCTGAAATCGCCAGGGAGGCGCAAAATCTATATCAAATCGGATGTCCATAATCTGCCACTTAAAGTGGAAAGCCATGATGATTATATCAATTAAGCAATTCTAAACATACCCCCACTTCAAAGCAAGAGACGTTCTAAAAGATCACAATAACTAGTTATCCAAATTTAACATACTACCCTTTTTACTTCATACATATTAGGCACCATAAGTGAGTGTAAAAAGTGCACCCAGATACTAGCCTTACTAACGGGTAAAAGTGGAGACACAAAACACATTTACGTACCTCATCCATTACAAGCATAGAGCAATCTTTCAAAACACAAACACCCTTTTTTGTAAGATCAAGGATTCTTCCAGGAGTTCCAACAAGTAAATGAACTGGTTGATAAAGACGCATTATGTCATCTTTTAAGCTAGTTCCACCTGTAGTAACCATGACCTGAATTTTTAAGTGCTTCCCAAGTTCTTTACATACTTGTGATGTCTGAAGAGCCAATTCTCTTGTTGGGACAATAATGACAGCTGAAACAATGCACATTGGTGAGAAGTCTAATCGACAAGTGAATATAGTAGTTGATCAAATAACTGTAGAAAATATAATAGTACAAATCTAGAAAAAACGATCAGCAAAATAGTTACCATTAAGGCGTCAAATTTACCACACAAATGATCATATATCTGGCATCCTTACAAAACCCTCTCTTATATATATAAAATAATAAAATCTTATAGAGAATCAAAACAGTGTTGAATAGCCGCTATAGGAGTACAATAATGATTATTACTGCTACCATGCATTATCATACCCACCGTTTCAGCTTCCAAAATGCATAAAATCTAGCTTATTTTGATTATAGTGTAATGGCTTTATTCTCCTAGAAATGCAATATCTGAATTTGCAAAACGTAATGACCTCCGAGAGAAACTTCAGAATGCTACATTTACAAGAGTCCTCAGATGGATAAGACTAAAACCTTGAATAACATCGTTATCTTGATCAATTTTCTCCAAGGCAGGAATGCAAAAAGCAGCAGTTTTCCCTGTTCCATTTTTGGCTCTAGCTAAAATATCACTTCCAGTGAGAGCAATTGGAATACTCTCCTCCTGGATCGGAGATGGTCTCTCGAAGCCCTTCTCATATATTCCCATAAGCAGCTCACGTTTCAAAAAGTAGTCTTCAAATTCATTTCCTTTGGTAGCAGTCACATCCTGTAAGAGAATTAAAAATTGCAATCAGGACTCTAATATCAACTAATATAGCTTCATACTCAACAACCCGACAGTCAAACAAGAAATAATGCAGAAATGATCACAGAATCCCAAAAGTCAGAAGACTGATTATCCAAAGAGAACTTCCAGGCATAATATTATGAATATTATGTTGATAAATGAAGTTGAACAAGCGAGAAAATTCTATAATATACAAGCTCCAGTTATTCTCAGCATACTGAATTCTATTATGCTTCCTATGACCAGCAAATATAACAAGGAAAATATAAGCTTGAAGTGGCAAAAAACGTCAGAAACAAAACTTCAGGAAGCAAGGAAACAAGCACTATCAGGGAGATCTGGCAAGTGTTGCATGCAGGAAGACTGTAGCACACATGTTGAACGCAAACAAACAAGCCCGCTTTTGTATTATTATGCAGAATACGCACAGGACACTCTTGGAATCAAAATGCCATTTTAAGGAGGAAAAGAATATGTCAGAGTACAATGTAACAAACTTCGTGTAGAGAGAGAAATATAATGATAAAAATATTTAAATAGAATGGAAGGAAGCATTATAGAGAGTGTTTGCCCAAAGTTCAGGGCGAATTTAATCATTGTTTGGGTACTTGACATGTGCTCCTCTGAATGCTATGATTGCTATCCACTGTACTTTCTTTCTTCTTCAATAATCGAATTCAAAAGCAAACATATTATTATCTATTATCTGACAGTGTTTATCTATTCACTGAATTTTTCAAAATCGTTTACTTTTAAAAATTTAGTGGTTTGTTCATCTTGAAGGACATGGGACAGACTCCAGAGCATTCATTACCCACGTTTGACTGAACGCCACAATACAAAACCAAACTGTTCAAACATCTATAAAAAGAGACAATGTGCCCAACCATGGTTCAGGCCCCATTATCAATACAGAGAGTGGCACTAAGGAACTAAAGAAGAAAAAAGGAAAGTGAGATAGAAATAGGGAAGTTCCCAAAATGCATGAATTCTGATATGGAAGTGAATAGCATACTGTGTTCAGACACGTTAAAGAAACTATGGCTTGAACAACTTTTTTGGGAAAATAGATTTTGTAATGGTGATTTTTTTGGAGAATGTTTAGTTAAACAGCATGGACAAATTTTGGGTTTATGTGCAAATTATTTATTGGGAGAATGTGTGGTTGAAAATAAGTTTGGAGAAAAATGAGTTTTTTGATAATGGAGCTCAAACAGGGGCTAAATGATGATTTAAAAGATTGAAGGCACTAAATACAAAAGACAAAGGATAAAAAAAAGAGTAGCACTTCATAATAATGCATGCAACATTTAAAATGTGTGGTCAAAAATGAGTTTGAAAAAAATGAATTTTAAAAAATTGGGGCCAAAGATGGACTCAATATATCCTCGAAGATAAAACGAACAACTAAGCAACACGTAGACAAGCATGTCATTGAAACTCTTTACCTCCGTTTTGTAACGGGCGTCCGTTGGTGGTAACTTTAATCTTTCCTTCCAATCTTGCGAACTGATGAAAAGTAAAAGAATAATAGTTAATAAAATTGTGTCAATTATCAAGAAGATTCTCGGAGAAACTTTTCAGTGTGCATCCCAAAAAATGAACACTACAGCATAATTGTGGTAGACTAAATAATCATGGTTCAAGGGTCAGCCAAGTCCAAGTCGACTCACAATCATAAAGGCTGTTGCCATTTCACTATTCCATTTTGTCTGATAGTTTTTGTTCATTTTCTAATCTTGTGTGTTTTGGTACAAATTGCATCCTATTTCATGATTTCTAAACGTAATTATTATATTTAAAATCGTGTGTTTGTTAGGTCAAATGTTCAAATGTCACAGTTTTTTATATATTCATCACTGACCTTTCAATTGCATACAAATGGGTCTTCAAGGTTAAAGCTTCCTTTAAGAATAAATATCCCCTAAACCACGTTTTCTGTTAGTCATTTAAATTTCTAAATTTTAACTGATTTAATATAAGTGTCATTTCAGGCCAAGCTAATAATGCGTACTTCTGTTGCATTATTTTTAGTGTAATTGTGGAAATTATGTATCCTGATGGAAAGTTTGACAGCTGAGCGACAAAATAATCCATGGCATTATTACTCTTCAAGTTTTAGAGTTTTGTGAATTATGCTAATTTAGTGGATAGCATTTAGACATTGCTAACTATTTTCTCATAATTTTGAGCCATCTATATGGCAAAATGAGCATATCAGATGGATGCAATCTGACATGCCATGACAGATATGGAACAATACCCACCATGATAGCACCTGAATCCACCAAGTCCACGAAAATATATATATATATATATATATCATAATATAATTTCCTTTCCTACCGTTTTTAGATTAAGATTTTAACTCCACCATATTACAAATCCCTAAACTTCATGAAGGTCCATATTAACATGCCAACATGCCTTCCTATTTTCACGTATTGCCCGGAGTTGATTTATATAAACGTCAACAAATCGAAAGCAAAACTTTCTTAAATCATTGCACTACAAATCCCTAAACTTCATGAAGGTCCATATTAACATGCCGACGTGCCTTCCTATATTCACGTATGCCCGGAGTTGATTTATATAAACGACAACAAATCAAAAGCAAAACTTTCTTAAATCGTTGCAATACAAACAAGATAGACCTTCCTAATAACAAGGATGGAACAATAAGCAGAAACAAAACTAACAGAATTCGAGAACATATATGCCATGCCAACTGCACCCCAAGACTTAAAAGAGTTTCTTCGAAGATCTCCTATGCATTACAATTGTGCCATCTGGACCTCTAGAAAAGCAGTGCCAGAGAACTTATAGGTGAATCAGTTCTAAGGTAAGTGTCCCAAACATGCAGGCAGCATACCATGCTTCGGATTTTCACACAGCTAAACTTTATGACGCTACATAATCCAAATTGGATTATCTTCCTTCCGTTCAGTTTTCAATGCTTAATTCAATCACAATACAAAATATAGGGTATGCCATTCCCCTTTATTGCTTAAAATACACAAAGAAAGCTATTGGGTTCCTGGAAGTTAAAATAAATAAAGTATTTGCGATAATTAGGCTGAATGAGCAGACAAAGAACTAAGATTAAAACATCCAAACCTCATAAATAATTAAATTCAAATCCTGATTTGAAAGAGTAAAAAGCCTAACCTCGAATCAACCGCTTCAGACTGTACGGTCTTTTCAACCTCATGGACAGTTGAATTGGATGGCGGAAGCTGAGTCCGGCGTAGCCACTGCTGTTGCTGAGGATTATGAAACGTCTGGTGATTCATATTACTCGGTGCAGGGCCCCTAGTCATGTTGTTTTGCGTGTGATTTCTAGGTTGAAAAGGGTTTGGGTTAATGCCGCCGGCACCGCCTCGGCCGCCGCCCATTCCCGGAGGTGGATATCCTGCCCTCGAACTCATTGCAGAAACCCGATAATCTTTATACAAGCAAAATCTATGTATCTATATATACAGAAAACTAAAATTTCTAATATAAATCTTTTATTGATCGCGATTAGGGTTTTCTGGCAATTTGCCGGGGGGAAACAGTGGGCTAGGAGGGAAAAGAAATGAAATTGTTTGAACTTCAGTGTCACTCAAATACGAGAAAATACATTTGGAAGATTTATACACAGAAAATGAAAGCAGAGAGTGAAATGGGAGTCCATGGTTACATGCGACCGTTCAACGGCGTCGGATTAGGATACCTATTAATTTTCTAAAAGGCCCTCGTAAATATGTGTTATTCTCGAACTTGCACCTTTATATGGTTAATTAGCGCAAATGGTCCTAACATTTAGATACATTGCGTTTTCGGGATCTATCCATTTTAACCTTTTTATTACCTCCCCTTACAAAAAGAGAACCTCCCATCAATTTTGCCGTTAAATGGGCACACTCTCTCATCCTCTCAACGTTAGGAGGGTATTTTCATCTACCCACCAATACGTGAAGGTTCTCCATGAAGAGAAATTATACATGGATGAACGGCCTGATTGGTTGAGTTATCATATGCAAAAACTCCTAATTTTTTTCCCTAATAGACTATAACCCTAACTTGTATCATGCAAGCCGTGGATGCACTCTAGACCATGATAAATTATGGGTCACTTTGATCTTATAACTTTGTTTATGAAATTTGTACAATTATATTTTTAGAATTAAAAATCTTTTAAAACCTAAGTAGAACCCGATCGAATTAGTCATTTCAGTCCAATAATTACTTTCATCCAGAATTTCAAAATTCACTTATTTACTAATTGTAGATGCTTGAATCTACAATTGATTCGAAAGGTGGAAACCGATGATCTTTATGATCGAAATGATGAAATAGAGGTAGTGTCGAAATGGTTGGAAGATATGATTATGAGTGGTGGAAGATAAAAGTGATAGTAATAGCGATAAAATATCTTAGATGGATGAAGAAGTGCTACTTTTGATAGAGTTAGCATAACAATTTGAAGAAGTGCTACTTTTGTCACACGTGGTAAGACTAGGTCTTACTCTTAGCTCACGACTCCTATAGAAAATATGGAAAGAGTTGAACTGAATTGTGTATTGAGAAGCTTATTCTTTAGACTCCACATTGTATTGTAAGATAGGTAAGAAGCAAAGCAAGACCGATAAGTCATAGGTGGGTCAAGGATGAGCATGATTTGCATACATAATTTTGGATGGGGGGAACACCCAATATACATAGATTGGGTTGAGAGCCCAATGATTGATTTGGACCACCACATTCTCAAGTTCATTTACCTCTAAATGTTAGCCCAAATAGGACCGGTCCTTAATGTGAGACCCAAGCCATCAAAGAAACCGAAGAGCTAGAACTTTAACATCGTGTATGACCTACATGCTAAAGAACAATTTTGGACATACAATTTCTATGAAGCATAAGTCTCCAAAATGATAACGGAGACGTGCAAAGGTTTCCTAAGTCCCCGTTTGAGCCACATTAAAATTTTCATTCTCATTTTTCTACTCATTTTCAACCACACATCAATAACTTTTCTTTATTTCTCAAACACACATTCTCCAATAAAATAATATTTTTCATCATATCAATAATTTTTCTTTATTTCTCAAGCACACATTCTCCATCAATCTATTATTCTAAAATACATTCTTCCAAAATAATGTGACTCAAACACTCCCTAAGTCTTGCTAGTGGCTAGCCGGATGTGCCTTAGTTGACCCTTCTTCGATAACCTAATTGAATTTTCAGTGTTACTTCTGTCAATTTCTCTTTTTTAACGCAGGGCCTTTCCGCGCGTACGAGGATGCCCACAGCTGCAAAAGCTGAAGCGTGAAAAAAAAAACATTTATATCCAGCAATGGTTTTCTGCATGCCTAAGCAATCTCTCAACCACGCGCTCAGAACGTGTCAATATATGATTTGCTTGACCACGTAACATCTAAATTCCGAGCCCAAAAATTTCGATTGCCTGCGTCTCCCTCCCGTTTCTTCAACAATCAGTGTTTTCACTTCTATTTTCCGGTAATCATTCTACCTCTCTGGTTAGTTATGTAAATCCTAGATCAATTTTTAAACACGTTGTAACTACACACTCTGTTTCTGATATTGTGTACGCTTTACAGTCTAAGATTTTTCTCTGTGCTTTCAAATACGTAGATTAATGTTGGATCACTAAACATCCAAACTTCTGCTTCCGTGATTGCACGGAATACGTATTTGTTTTTTCAAATCTGTTGAACATTTTTAGGAATAGTGTAGACAGTGCTCATAGCTTATAATTTCAGTTCTCCGTGGTTTATAAGAGTTCGTTAATTAAGCCTCCTTTTGTTTTCCATTTAACATGTAGGAAACTAACTCCCATATTATCTGTATGCGATTGTATGAAGTGAGAAATGCTTCCTTTTTTGTAGACGGACAGGAAGGAAGAGAACAACCATAATTTAGATATGGTACGATAATTTGCCTCGTATATAATCATTGGTAATTTTGATTTTTTTTTTGGATAACAAATAAATGTTCTTACTAATATAACTCTGTTGGATAATCAGTCAGCCCTCTTCAATTTCCATTCTTTCCTCACCGTGGTAATGTTAGGCATTTGTACCTGCACTTATTTGAAGATGCATTTTCCAGTACTCTTTGAACAGAGAACTGGGTAAGTCTGTTGTTATATTATTCCATAACATGCAAATGCAAACTCAAGTTTTTGTACTTACATTTGTATGTAACGTAAAATTTTGCTCATTAACACAGTTGATTTTCTCCATGGATGTACCTTCATTATGTATCTTCAAAAGATTAAATTTTGTGGTTGTGAGTGCAATTCCCTTTTTTTTTTTTTGCATCTATGCAAATGTTATAAGAAATAGTTGCATTTCTACAAAAGCAATCTGTGACTAGTGCATTGAGTTTGAGTAAGAAATTATTTAGTAATATTTGGAAGACACGGGCTAGGAATTATTGTCACTTGAATGGAATGAGAAGGTCTTTTATTGATAAATCTTTGTTCTCTTGTTTGAGGGTAAGAAACTGAGACAATTAAGACAAGCAAGAGCTGGGGTTTTTTATATAAAAAAATTGCATCTATTTTTGTTTCTGAAATATTGGTCATTAAATTTATCTGCAGTCTCGATGTATTTATGTATTACTTCTGGTGATTTTGGTTGCTTTCTTTTATTCCTCTACTGGCAAGAGAGAGTTTTTTTCACTATTTTGGTTTCTATTTGCTCCTCTATCATTTTTTGAATCATTTAACCTTTTTGTCCATTCATACAACAAAAGTTAAAAACACTCTTTCATCTGCATTCTGATTGAATGCTAATATGACTGGCAGGTTTAAAGGTGTCTTCTGGAAGGCTGCTAGAATAGGTATGATCTATTTAAATATTTCTTTTATGGTGATGGTCTTGCAGTATTTGTGCAGGTTCGCATATCTTGATTTATTTTTTTATATGACTGTTTATATTGGTGGTTTTGAAGTTTAAGACTAGTTTGGCTTATATTTATAAATTGTTTATTAACACTCCAAGTCACTTTTATCCACATTTTTTGAGGGATCCACAAGTTTTAGCCACTTATCAACACTTAAACTATCTATTTATAATAAAAACTGTTTATAAACATTTCCCAAACATGCTTTAAAATGTTCAATATCCGCAAATAAGTAGCTGGAACCTGAGGCGGACACAGGGGTGGGCCTGGGGGGTCACGTGACCCCCCAACTTTGGGGCCAATCTTCTTCTATGTTTTTGTCTCAATTTTCGAAGTCATTATGAGATGTCAAACGAAGTCGAAATATTACATTATTAATACCATTTTGAAATGCTCACGGCCTAGTTTTTTACGTTGTTAATGGCGCTCGAAACTGCCAACCGTAGCAAATGTTACGACTTGTCACAAGTAGGTAGTTCCAAACTAGTATTTAGAGAGTTTCGATAACATGCTAACTTTAAAAATTCTCCAACGATCATACGCTAGCCGAATCCACAAATCGTATATGTCATCTCAAACCTGATTTCGAGAACCACATCATAGGCATATCGAATGGTTCAAACATATATCGAAAGTAGTTAAAGATGAGTCAAACGTGCATCTTAAAAAGAGGGGTCTAACTCGTCGTTTCTTTAAAAAAATTGAATTATTATTATTTCTGCGATACAAATTTCTCAATATAATTTACATCATTTTATTATGAAATTTTACATGGGATATGATATCAAACTTTTCAAAATTTTACATCCAAAAAAGTCATACTCCATGTAAATTTTCGAATGTAAAATTACGTGGGGTATGATTTTTTTTATGGATATGATATCAAACTTTTCAAAATTTTACATCCAAAAAAGTCATACTCCATGTAAATTTTCGAATGTAAAATTACGTGGGGTATGATTTTTTTTATGTAAATTTTCAAATGTAAAATTTCTCAACTTTTTTGCAAGTTTGATTGTGCTCTCCTAAGTTCCTCCACTAGCTGGAACTAGTCTAATAGAAGGGAATGGACAGGGTTTTAAAGAAGGAAAAGTTGGTTGATATCTATTGCATCTAAAGCACAAATTGTAGTTTTTCTATTTTTAAGTTTTCAGAAATCAAGATTATGGGTCCAAGAAAAATTCCTTGGTTCTGGAAAAAATGTTTGATCAACTTGCTGATATGATATCATCTCTATGAGACCTTATTTTTCTTACAGAGTTTGTAGTTCTGGAAGAATGTCTGCTTCTATATGACGGCATCCATGTTACATTTGCTCTATATGAATAGTATGAGGTTGACAGTCATCTTTTCTGCTTTTCCTCTTAAAATACGATCTTTTCCTCTCTACTCTCAAAGTATAATAGATGATATTCTTAACGAGTTGTTCATATTCTCTGGTTGCTCTTTGTTTTTTTGTTTTTTTTTTTCCTTTTTTTCCTGGCTCTCCAATCAAGGAATCTAGTGAACTAATTGCAATCTTCTGATGCTTTGATTGAAATCTTTTCCTAGATCTGCATTCTTGTTTTAGAACTGCATTCAAAACATTTCCTGTAAAACGTAAAATGTCCGAGGTGTGACTGAAGTTTAATATTTATTATTGAGGAGCGATTGCTGCTGATTGAGAGACTGGTGGCACTTGGGTTTTTCTTTCAATCTTTTCTATGAAATAATATATGCAAGTTATAGTTTTTTTATTTTATTTTTCGCGGTTTATGAGGAAAAATAAATGAAACAGTTGGCACAGGCAGTTAATGCAATACTTGCTGGTGAGCCGTGAAAGGATATCTGATGCTTCTCCAATAAATGTGATGCCGGTTCAATTTATGCTTTGAAAGTCTGACACGGTTGCTATGTTTCCTGGAACAGGGGAGAGATTGAGCCCTGGGGTGGCTTTGGGATGCTTCACGATGGGTATCTCTATAATCTTCTTCTAAGAGGATAGCTATGCATATGTACTCAGTAGTAAATCCAACAACACATTAACCTTATAGTTGTAGAGTAATGCCTTGTGTAGTTGAAAAGCTATACTGGGGAACTCTTTGGTGCCACGAATGTCATCTCTTTTTATGACTTCTTTGTTATTAAGAGTGTGTTTGGTAGAGATTAAAATCGGATTAAAATTGAAAAACTAACTGTTGTTGTTGACTTTTATTAGACGAGTGAGATCCAATAACGCCGTATTAAGAGTGTGTTTGGTAGAGATTAAAATCGGATTAAAATTGAAAAACTAACTGTTATTGTTGACTTTTATTAGACGAGTGGGACCCAATAACGGTTATATTTTCAATTTTAATTGGATTTTTAGTGTTGACTTAAAAGTGAGTTTTGAATATAAATCCTTTTTGTGCGATTATGTCATTGCATTTCTGGTGTCTCTTTTAAGTGTTGTTTTCTCATCTCAATTTAGGCTTGTTGCTTCTTTAATTCTACATCATTCCTCTGAAAAAGAGGGGTTTGCCTGGTCTGTCCACTTGCCAGGGCAGAAAATTTTTTATAGTTACCACACTTCATTATAGGGTCTTGTGTGCCTTTTCTTTCTATTTCTTCTCTACAAAGTTGCTGAATCAACTTATATATTGGAGCTTTAATAATATACGCACCATCTTAGAAGGTAGACCTCTTTATAACCAAAGATATATCGTAGATATATTGTTGACTGTACTTACTTTTCTCCAAAATGATTGTGAATTTATTGTGCCTAAATTCTCTAAAAGCACACTCTGGACTCAAACGGGCCTATTGCTTTATTTTCCTAGTTTTGGTGACAAGAATATGAAGGTACATGATTTTGTGAAATTCTTTAGAAACTTGGAGGTTACTTTCTTCCGACATGAGCTAATGCGCAACCCCGTCATCAATTTTGATGGTAGGCTGTGTTGATATTTAAAATTCATTTGACGGACTACATGGGTAGATATGATATGAGTAATCGTATTTTCTATATGGCCGTGTTAAAGTTACCATTCACCACATGAGCCTAACTTATTCTTTATTCACCACAATGACTCCTCAAAATGTAAAAGACGAAGATACCCTTAAAATGGTCCAGATGCCCGGACCACCGTCGGACCCAGGCGCGTGAACCATTGTCTAGACGTTTGTGCCCGAATGCCTAGGTCGTCTCGGCCAAATGCATGGTCAACTGGTTTTCCGAATAATCATGAGCATGGTGGAATTTACCATTTCCAACATGTTTCGTCCCCCAAAATCATCCTTAACTTTGATTCTAACAATATATCTATCTCAAACCGTACATTAAAATCATAAATTCATATATTTTATCAAGATTGAAGGTCAAAATCAAAGAATCCATTCATAAAATTTAAACAATAACTAACCTTGATTAAATGTGTAGAGGATGATGATGGTGAATAGTGTTGAAATTGATTTCTTCAATAAGATCTTTTCCCCTTTTTTCCTTCATTTGAAATGAAGGGCATTTTAGAGATTTTGTTAGTTTAATTTGGTCAAAGGTCATTATGAAAACTCGATTGAGTCAACCAATCATTTATACCATGGGAAAAAAATCATAAATCAGGTGTATAATTTACACAAATTCACAAATCAAGTTTATAGTTTGAAAATTCAAAATTCAGGTATTTATATTATTAATTAAATATAAAAATAGTCACATATGCATAAATATAGGTCACAATTTATTTATTGGTCACATTATCAAATTTTTTATAAGTCACAGATTATTTCGAGGTCACAAATTAAAATTGTATTGGTCACATTTATTTTATTGGTCACGAATCAAAAAAATTACAGGTCACGATTTATATATTTGTCATAGATTTCAAGATTTGTTGTTCGCAAATTACTTTTCAAGTTACAGGTTATCATATTTTAAAGTCACAGTTTAATCTTGGTCACACATAACCAACTAATTGGTCAAGTGGTCACACACCACCGTCATCAATACTACCGCCACCGCCTCCACTCGTCTTCGCAGCCGCGAGATCCACCACCATCCCCGTCACTGTTGCCACCCCACCGACACCACATCGTTGCCACCAACAAATCACCATTTGCAACTACAAACCACCACTGCTACTACTAGATTCATTGCCAATAAAATTTTATACAATGATTGAGAATTTAAAAAATGAACTTAAAAAATTTGATGGAATTATGTGTTTCACGTCTGATTGTTGGTCTGAACGAAATCATAATGATTATGCTTGTATTACAGCACATTTCTTTGATAATAATTGGGTATTGCATAAGAAAACTATTGCTTTTAGTTTACTTGAATATCCTCATAATGGTGTAAATTTGTGTGAAAATTTATTACAAGTTTTTAATGAATTTGGTGTGTTAGATAAACTATATAGTGTTACCTTTGATAATGCAAGTGCTAATAATGCATGCATCGAACTTTAAATTAGAACGGTTACACCCCTATATGATTCTAAATTATTTCACATGCGTTGTGTTTGTCATATATATAATTTAGTTGTGCAAGATGGTTTAAAATTAATAATACCATAAATAAGTATAATTAGAGAATCTATTAATTATATTTCTTGTTCAGATTCTAGATAACAAGAATTTGAAAAATTTTGTAAAAATCTAGGATTGAGAAGAAGAAAATTTGTTGATGATGTTCCTAATAGATGGAATTCAACTTTTTTTTAATGTTAAAATCGTGTGTTGGTTATACTAATGCTATTAATGCATTTGTTAATTCAAAACAAAATCAATTTTATATAACTTATTTGGACTGGGAAAAAGCATTTAAAGTTATGAAATTTTTGAAACATTTCTATAATGCAACAAAAGTTAGTTATGTAGTTTATTATCCAACTAGTAATCTTGTACTTTTACAATTAGTAAAAATTGCTGGACAGTTTTCATCATTTAGAGACGATCCATTTCTCTTTCAAATTATTCACTCAATGGAAGAAGAGTTTAAAAAATATTATGAAAACATGCTACTAATTTTTCCAATGACGGTTGTAATGGATCATCGCATTACGTTGTTTGGAGTTCATTGTGCTTTAGAATTACTTTCTGAAACATTAGTTTTTAACATAAATATTACAAATCGACAATTGGATATTTTTATTAATGAAATGTATAACAACGATTTTATTAAATATGGTAACAATGAAAATATTTCTTCTTATACAAACTCTAGTACAACTTCTAAAGGCAAAACTTCTTTTTTCTCCATAATAGCTAAGAAACGTAATGTTCTTGGTTCTTCATCGACAACTTCAACTGCAAATCCAAATACCACACCTGCTGAATTAGAAAGATACTATCAACGTGATCATTATAGTTTAATACCTGAAAATGAAGTAAATAATTTAGATATTTTACGATTGTGGAAATTAAATGAGCGGACATACCCTGTATTATATAAAATGGCACGAGATATTCTAACAGTTTCAGTCTCAACAGTGGCATCCGAGTCTGCTTTTAGTGCAAGTAACATGGTAGTGGACGAAAGAAGATCTAAACTTAAAAAAGATATTTTGGAAGCTCTCATATGCGTGAAAGATTGGATATTCGCGGATCGAAAGATGTAAGATAAAATTATTGATGATGTTCCTAAAGACTTCAAAAATCTTGCAGTTCTTGAAAATTGATTGGAAAACAAATATTAAAATATATAATTTTTTAACAACTAAATTATAGTTAGGAGTTAAGTAGGTGCCAACCTAGTTGGGATGTATTTATAGTATAAATATTTGATAATAGTAATTAGAAATACATTTAGTTGTTATTTATTTAAGTTAAATTTAACTTTGCAAAGTTATAAATAATTCATGTAACATTAAATTTGAATTCTATGTAAACATTTCTTGGTATAAATATGAATTTATCATTTTGTTCAATTCTTAGTTTACATTTAACAAAAAAAATATTTTTTATTATAAATATGAAAAATTTTATATTTTTATAATTTTATTTATACAATAATGCAGGCCAAATCAGAACAAACTGCGACCCGTGACCAGCATGGGCTATACCCGGATGGGTCAGCGGGCGGGCTTGGGTTACAGTCCAAAATTTGTGGGCCGATCCGGAACCCGTAGCGGGCAGGTTTTTTTCCACGCGGGCTGTTACCGATCTCATATGTTAGCGGGCCAACCCGGCCCGGACCACCCGAATTGACACCTCGAATCTCCCCCGCCCCGTCGGATAATTTCCTTCCCCATTACCCTTTAAAGCAAAGAGAGGCAGGAGGCGCCCTTGCCCCGTTTACTACCCATTTAATTTTTAATTTTTTTTTTATAATTCATATTATTGTCCAGTTAATTAAAGTGAGACAATTATATATTTATCAATTTATTTTTAAAAGTTAAATTATTCAAATATATTTGATAAACTAAGACTTTTATTGTTTGTTATATTTCTTAGATAATTATTGATGTTAACAGAAGAAGAATGAGAGAACTGATGTTTATTTGATATGAAGAATCAATCATCGAGATACAATATAATGCCAGCAATATAAATAAACAGGCTAACCAGAAATCAGTTACAAGTTCAACTAACTAACTGTGACAGCTATACGTTAAAGAGATTTTTGTTTGCATCATATATGTTGAATCTGCACATGATATATGGCTTGACCTTGAGGAACGTTTTCAGCAGAAAAACAAACCTAGAATCTTCCAACTAAAATGTGAATTGATGAGGCTAACTCAAGATCAGAATTCAATTAGCATATATTTTACAAAACTGAAAACCATCTGGAAAGAATTAAGCAATTATAAGCCAGTGTGTACCTGTGGCCAATGCACTTGTGGTGGAGTGAAAGAGCTCAGTTCTCATTACCAAATGGAATATACGATGTCCTTTCTTATGGGATTAAATGACTCTTATTCACAAATTCGTGGGCAATTACTTTTCATGAAGCCATTACCATCTATAAATAAAGTATTTGCCTTAATCTCTCAAGAAGAGCATCAAATGAAGA